CATGGATGAATCAAGAGATGTTTACAACACCAAGGAAGATATCTAGAAGGGTAGAAGAATCACTTACGATTTTGGAGGATTTAGATGAAGAACTTGATGGTAGTTGAGAGAGAAATCCGATTTCTAGACTTGGGAGTTGAAGAAATGGCAAGAAATGAAGGGGATATCATACTTATGGAGGTGGTGTACGGCCAACATGGGTGTACGACCGTACACTCCCACTGACGGAGTGTTCGGCTCGATTTCAACGCGAAGAACTTTAGCTGACACTTCCCCAAACCCAATGCTTGAATGTACTGAGCTTAAAACCCTTAAACATACTCTAAACAATGCTAACTGGTAGCAGAAACGGGTCTGACACTCGGTTGAGTTGAATGGCTGGACTTTAAAAGGCAAAAAATTTCGGGTTGTCACAAGATGGAACGTTCGAGGATCATGGGTAGGGAAGCGTTTAGGTGATGGTGTTAGGGAAGGTTCCCTATGAACTTCCGTATCAGGAAAATCAGGACCACCAATCCACACTGAGCTAACTATCCACCATTCAGCACGGCTCTCAACTTCTATAGGCTCCAACTTCTGTACAAGTCTATTATCCTGGTAACAAAATTTTAAAATTATAAATAAACATAAATTATACATATAAAAGGAAATCTTAAAATATATAAGTAAACATACTTCGTTGATTTTTATAAACTGGTTGGACTGAGTCTTTTGTAAACGCCCCAATTTCTATCATGCAACAACCCAAGGGATCACATTCTCTTGTAGGGTACCAAACAAACTGCTCTCAGAAAAAGTCTCAAGAATCCATATCTGAAAAAAAAATCATGTATTAGAATATTAGCAAACAAAAAAAAACAATAAATTGTTAATCATGTACTTACCTTAAAAGCATATAAAAAACCGCTTAGGGTGTAGGTCATTTTTTAAGGTTGTTTCTTTTTTGTTTTGACTGGATGTATATGTTTGTCAAAATTATTGAATACATAATTAACTGTGAGTACAATTGATCCCAAATTATCCTCCCCCATGGATATCTGCAACATAAAAAAATCCATAATTAAATTTCTAAAAAATATTAGTAATGCTAATTAATTACCCTTAATTATAATCCGTAATTATAAATTAACGATATGATACCTGTTGCATTCATCAAAGTCGGATACCAAAGTGAATTACTTTTCTAAAATGGCTTGTTTAGCCAACCACCCATTGAACCTCTTCTCTAGTAGATATAAAAGACATACATGATCTACGTCCTCGTCTGATAAGTCATTAAGCGAATGCTCAAACACATTCTTCACATCGTCTAATTTAACGGAGACATTCCTTGCGACCATAGGAAACACACGGGGTAGGAAAATAATCTCCAAAGCAGAAGTCAGTGACAAGACAAAATTCTTTCTTCCCAAAAGACAGCTTGTAACCCCCAACCTCAAAAACCATTTCCTCTACTTCGCTTTGGGGTCCATGATAACTTCGTGGCAAAAGACGTAATGTAGAAGCAAATGATCCACATCTACATTAGGAATGTCTAACCACCTTCCAAAACATGAATTCCGGAATATAGTCTCGCATGTCGGTCTTTCTTTAAATGTCATAAGAATATCCCCACCGATTTTTGGTTTACAAGACAATATAATTGATGCATCAAAAACCTTGTCGTGCTGCAAATAAAAAGGTTGTTATAAACCAACTCCAAAATGCAACTGACCAACATTTGGAACACGTTCTTAGTTTTCTAGACATATTCCTTATGTTCCGGACCTATTCCTTGTGTTCCAGACATGTTCATCGTGTACCGGACCTATACTGAAATGCAATTTATGTTCCAGAACCCTAGATTTGGATGTATAATAACACTCTATAAACAACTAAACTACTTTTGGGTTGGTCCTAATGCACTGAAATCATATATGGTACTTCAGAACGTGGTCGGTTCATTCCGGAGGTGTTGTTCGCATTCCGGAATGCAATGTTTAGTTTCGAAACACTATTTTGTGATGAATATAAACAAAAATATTAAGTCGGAGTAAAGGACTTAGCGGTTGTTTGATACTTGCTTGCTAGGTTAGAGCTGACTGAGTTAGAAGCCAAAGTTCTAACTGGGTTAACTTACGACTTAAATTTGTTATTTGATTTTGCATTTGACTAACTGTGCAAAATGACTATACTACTCTCAAACAATATTTTTTATAATAATTCTTTTGTCCTTAACCATTTAATTTATAACATTTACATATAATAATTCCTTTATCATCCAAAAAAATGTTAACAACATTGTTATAGGTCAAGTCAATCATTGATGAATACTGTAATCTTTACAATAAACAAGAATATTAGCATTAATATCACTCCAACAAGATTCCACCACAAAAAAATTATAAAAATTGGTTACTAGTTAATGGCATTGTCCTTTAATGTTTGTCTAGTTTTTTTTATTTAAATGTTCTTGTGTGGTTTCGGTTTTATTTATGATTTCTTCTCTTCATAGTGTGATTCAAATATCATCAAATAGCTACAACATTCAGAAGAAATCAACGATACCAATGTCTCTTTTGTTGCTCAAATAGTTAAATACTTTGTGCAGGAAGCCAATTCTTGTATTTCCTTTAGAAATCAGAAAATCCAAATTACATTACACTTCACTGGCTCTTCTCTTGATCCAGATCAATGTCAAAATTTTCCACCCTTGAAATTATAATTAATAAAATTAGTAGCTGATTTGGAATTTATCATTATTACACACAAGAGATTGCAGGAATTTATCATCATCAAATTGTATTAATGGTAGGTAAAAAAACAAAAACAAAACAGAGTCTATGTTTGTGCATTATCGATTAGTGGCAGAAAAAAAAAATCAAAATTAAGAGGATCTTGAGGTTTTCTTGGCAGAAACAAACAACACCAAATAAATTAACATATTTTTCATCATATTAAACAAGTGTAATGCTTTTAAGGCATATATGTCCAATATAAATAACAAAATAACAAGAATACAAAAGACACGGGTGAAAAGGTCATTTTATATGGATTTAACGGTGATATTCTAACAGAGTTAGACGGAAGGACCATTTTTGCAAGATTTGCAAACCATAGGGACGTGATCTATCAACTTTTCAAAGGTTGGACCAAACCTGCGAATTTGACTAAACCATAGCAACCATTTCTTTCGTTTACTCAAATACATATAAATACAACATAAAAATAACAAATAAAAAATACATAAACAATATATAAAATGGTTAAAAAAACATATAAATACGAAAAAAAAAATATGTTTATACATTTGAAACATATAAAAATTCTTAAACATATACATATAAAAACTTAAAAAATACATAAATATGTAAAATTAGGTAAAAATTACGTTTATACATTATACACAAATTTTGACGAAATCTTCAGAAAAGTCTTATTATTTTGAAAAAATTAACAATTTGGTCCATGACCTGCTGAACATGAACAGGTCAAAAATGACTAAAGTGAATAAATTAGCCGGTTCCTTAGGCTTTTCTATTCAAAAAGTCGGAACTTTTCTGTTCAAAAAATAAAATTTATGACTTTATTAAAAATTTACCAAAATATTGAGATTTTTCTGGAGATTTCCTTATTAATGTTTGGATAATTTCCCATAATGAGATTGCCTTCATTCCACAAAATATATACATACAAATGGGTTGACAATATACAATACAAATGAGCTAGACTAATTGGGCTAACAATACAACATATAATATACACTAATAATAATTTTTATTCCTTTTTATTATATTATATTTTGCTTAGAAAAACAATTTGTGCCATCCCTAGCAAAAATTCTTGGATACGACCTTTCTCTTAAGTAGGGGTGGGAATCGGTTCGGTTTACGGTTTCTTCGGTTTCCTGGAATCGGTTTCCTCGGTTTGAAATTTTTTTGGTCTAATTCGAAAACAGAACCAAATCGAATTCAATTCTCCAAACCAAACCAAAAACCAAGTTTTAATTCGGTTTGGTTCGGTTTGAAAACAGAGGAAACCAAATATTACCTTAAAAAATAGTGTTGCAATTTTCCAAACATAAATTACAATGCTTTTAACATAGAAACCTAAAGTTGTTCCAAACATAAAGATTAAAGTTTCACAAAAAAAGATCCAAAGTTTCATACATTTACTTGCTAGAACAAAAAGTTTAACTTCCAAGTTCCAATTTCCAAAACAAAAGTATAAAACATGAAGTTTAAGTTGTTCCTAGTGGCTTGTCAATGTTTGATCCATTTTATATATCAGTTACATAATCAAAAAACCTAAAACATAGCTAGTTTACCTCAATATCTAAAACTGATTATTAATTTATTAGTAACTTCGAATTGCAATGAATAGATTAAGCATGTTTCTCCCAAATATTTTAGGGATTGTTCTGGTAATAGACTATTATCGTCCAATTAGGTTTGATAATTTACTTATGGTTCTCATTTCAAGAATCTTAAGTAAAAAAATGAGTCGATGACCAAATGATCATTCAAAATCAGCACCATATTTCACCAAAAGCAGACAAACAACTGATTTGGAATTATCTATGAAATATAGTTATTATATATATAAACCAGAAATTTACAGAAAAGATCAATTAACTAACAGATTAAGTGATTAACAGAGATGTGTACCTGATATACCTTTTGGGGGGAATTTCACACTGACTTCGTTTAGGTTGAGGATGGTCGGAGATGAACTTTGTTTTTATAATTTTTCTAACAGTTACTTTTCCTTACAAATTATAATTTTTGTACAAATTTTTAATCAACTTTTTAACACAACTATTATATCCGGTTTCTAAACACACACTCAAGCAGACAAGTGTAGGACCAACCATAGCTTTCAACTGGGAAGAAGTAAAGTCTGCTTCACTGTCTATGCATTTATATGGTATCATTGGAATGCATTTATGTATATGAAGAAAAGTCTGCTTACGCTATGTATGCATTTATATAAATGAATATGATGTGAAACTGTATTTTTAAATGGAAGCAACTAACGGAGGCAGTGATTGCAGAGGCAACAGGATTTGTGTGATGGCACTCCGGTTGTGGTTGTGCTTCTGTTTCTGTTTGACCATCACCGCCGCCATAACTCGAGCTCAAAACATCACCGATCCAGCTGAAGGTACTGCTTCTCTCTCTCTCTCTCTCTCTCTCTCTCTGTGCGCGTTTCATAGAGAGAACTTCATATTCGATTTAGTTTCATGGTCGTTCACATCAAGCGTTTCAAATGAAATTTTGATCACTTTTTGTTTGTTCGGAACCTTATGCAATTATATAAAATTTGTACCTTGGATACCACTTGAATTATTCAAAATCTAACATAATTGAACTTTTAGATTGAAATTGGTTAATAGAATATTATTTTTGTTTTTTATTTTAATATTCATAAGCTATCCAAACTCTCAATCCAACTCTGACATGGCTTAAATTCATCAAATTGAGATACTATAGGCTTTTTTAACATAAAACATAATTTTTCGATTGTTTTTTGGAAATCGTGAATAGAAAAAACTTTTAAAAAAAAATATATTTTATAGCCTGTCGTGAATGAAAACTCTAATTCATAATCATAGTACCCTATTCGGGAATTTGTTAGGATATGATGAGTGGTGGGTCTTTTCGTATTTAACTAAAAATTTGTATTTGACAATTTGTGAAACAAATATCCACCGACTCTTACGTCTATCATATATTCCTCTGCTTCTTTCCCGCTTGAACGGGCATAATTCCGGTGTAGCACGAGGTCGCTCTTTCTTTAACTAGTGAATTAAGTTTTCGATTTTGTTATTTTGAAGAATAACGTCACTAGTAACAATGATTATGAATGAAACTGAAGAAAAATGGTGTTGCAGCGCGAGTTTTAAATGCAATGTTCAGCCAATGGGGGATACCGGAGAGTTCAGCAACACAGATGGGATGGAACATAAGCGGAAACCCATGCAGCGGCGCCGCCGTGAACTCTACCGACTTCAATGCCTTCGGTTACAATCCCGGCATCAAATGCGACTGTAATTTCCCCAATTCTACTACTTGCCACATCACCCAACTGTGAGTGCTTCTCTCCCTTCTTTCCCCTTCAAATATACAACTCTGTCAAGTTGGAATAAACTTTAGGAACATGATCTTTGGGTTGCTTCGTTTGTTACTTATTTGTATTCTATTTATCTTCTAACAATCATTCTCTCCCTGCAAATCATCAGAAAAGTTATTGGAATGGATGCTGTGGGCCCAATCCCAGAAGGACTCTGGACTTTGACTTACCTTACAAATCTGTATGTTTCACTATTGTGTTAACAACTATAGAAAGTTAAACCCAAAAATATAGGAGTATATCCGTTTTATGAATATTTATGCTTGTATTATGTTAAATAATCAAGTGTTTGCTACAGTCAGTTGTCCCAGAATTATTTGACAGCTCCCTTGTCACCTTCCATTGACAATTTAACTCAGGATGCAGATCATGTAAGCCATCCCTTTTTGATACTTAATTTAAACTCATATACTAATTTTTACCTCTATATATTTAAGAATATGTCTGAGATTTCAGATAGATGATGATAATTAAACTTTTTTATAGGAGTTTTGGCATCAATGCGTTATCAGGGCAGGTTCCACCAGAGCTAGGACAGCTTACTGACCTTAGATCTTTGTATATTTCTTCCTACTCTATTTACCTTTCTGCCATCAAGCAACAACTTCTTCTGTTTAATTCTTTGTTGTTTACAATTTTATAATCTATATATTTTCTATGTTGCAGGAGTTTAAGCACAAACAGTTTCACTGGTCCCCTGCCATCTGAACTTGGAAATTTGAGAAGATTACAAGAGCTGTAAGAACACTCATCTTGAATCCTCTTTTTCATTACTATTGTACTCACTATTACCTTTTGTTATGCATAGATGTAGACAATATCATTGATTAAATCATCTAATATGATCTTTATGTATGTTGATTGTGTCAGTTTCATTGATAGTGCTGGATTTGGTGGTCCTATACCTCCTTCATTTGCTAACATACGAAACCTGCAGACAGTGTAAGAGTGTTTATCTTCATTGATTTTTCAAAGTAATATTTCATCCATCATATAAGAATCGTGACACTTTCTTTTTTATAACGAATTCACAGATGGGCTTCTGATAATAATTTCACAGGCAGAATACCGGACTTTATAGGGAATTGGTCACAGTTACAATTTTTGTAAGCAAGCATCCAAATTATTTACATGCTTTTCATTGTGAACTTTCAAAATATAAGCTATATGCTTAATATTCTTATAGGTGGATTGAGGGGAACTCTTTTGAAGGTTCAATACCACCTTCATTTTCTAGACTGGCCTCTTTGCAGGAATTGTAAGCCTTTTTTTCTCCTAATAATTTATAATTATACATTGCAAGTTGGTCTTTTGATCTTTTAATTTGCATAGAATTAAATCAAAGTGGTTGGGTTCTATAATGTTACAGGGGCATAAGTGGTTTATCTAATGGAACTTTGGATTTTATTAATGGTATGAGGTCCCTGAGTATCGTGTAAGAAACATATATAGATCTTATATTTTTGTTTTATCAAGGATTCGAATATAAATTATAACAAGATGTCATCTCTTGCAGAAGGTTGAGGAATAACAAAATTTCTGGCTCTATTCCAAATGACATAGGAGAATATGAAAGCTTGACAGAACTGTGAGTAATCTGCATTTTTATTGAAGTATTTGAATACATAGATTAACCTAATAAGTGAAACATGAATAATAACTTCTATTGAAAGAAAAGCTCTCTAATGTTATTTTCTCAGGGACTTGAGTTTCAACAATTTGAGTGGGGAGATTCCAAGAGGATTATTCAGCTTGAGCCAAATGTCTTTATTGTAATACCAATATTCTCCTTTTATGATAAATAATATTTTGCATGCAATTTGGTCAATAAGACTCAATGTTGACCAAATATACACCTCATCATTTGCAGGTTTCTTGGAAACAATAGTTTAACTGGTACTCTTCCCGATGTAAAGAGCACAACTCTCCAGAATATGTAAGTGATTATAGGTTAGTTAATTAAGAGAAATTGTTTTTTCTTAATTAATTTCCATACAAATTTCTTCATGCAGTGATCTGTCACACAATGAACTATCTGGGACACTTCCTTCTTGGGCCGATGACTCAGGCTTACAACTGTACGTGTTTGATTTTGGATATTGCTTTTTAAATTCACATTTGTACCTGTATTTGGAATTTGTTTTCTATCAAAAAGTGGCAAACATACATAAGTTTTTAGCCTAGCTTTTGGAGCTAATACCATGTTTTTAATGCGTGTACAGTAACATAGTCGTGAACAACTTCACTTTAGGCGTTTTTGAAGGCAGGTATTTATATTGAAGCTGCAACTTACTTCTACATTTATTTCTACAACAATTATGACAAAAAATGAAGGGTTATATAAAAAATGACCACCTTTTTATCACTTATCAAAAAATGACCCCTGATTTCGCAAAAAAAAAAAAAAAAAAAAAAAAAACCACATACATATATGAAATTGCTTTTTCAGCCCACCACCATATTTTGAGAATTTTTATTTTTCGCCGTATATTCCTTTTCAAATGCTTTTTCTTGGGAAAAAAGTACAATAAAAAAGTTCACAAATTTGTCTTATATAAATATTCCTTTAAAATATAAACAAAATTGTTCAGCAAAATTCTTGAAAAGCGATCTTATCAGCTAGCTAGCTGTGGCGCGCCAAACACAACCTTTGTTGCATCTAATTTTGTTTGCATTTCAAGAAATACTTAAGTTATCTAATTTCCAAGAAAATAATTTTTTTCGAAAATGGCAATTTTTTTTGCGGAATAGAATAAAAATTCGCTAAATATGGTTTCAGAGAAAGTAATCTCTCATGTTATGTCTCATGTTAAGGAACCTTTTTACTCGAAATATGTGGTTATTTTGTGATTATTTTAAAATGTGGTCATGTTGTGATACAGACATTTCCCATTTTTGTGATTCACTCATTTAACTTTTTTTTATTTTTTGTTTCTTGCTAATTATAATGCAATATCTTTTGTCTAAGAGGTTTGCCTTTAGGAGTGGTTTGTCTCCAAAGGGATTTCTCTTGTTACCGTGGATCACCAATATGTAAGCAAAAAGCATGAAGTTTCTCCTTTTATTATGTAGCAAAGTCTATAAAAACATATATTTTGGAATTTTCTCAGTTTAACTACCTAAAGAATATTTTTTTTGATTTAGTCACTAAGACTTTGTTTGTGGGGGAATCTTCGACAAGTCCCTATATTATGGGTTCATTAACAATAAAGTTGTCTTTATTTTTTTGAAAAAAAAAAAAAAAAAAAAAAAAAAAAAAACCGAAAATTGTTTACATATTTTGGATTTTAGTCGGCGATCTTCATAAAACTCCCCATCTTTTGGGCTCATTATAATAAAGTCATGTCTTTTTGACAAAGGGTATTATCTTACTACAATCTCTTTGTCTGATTGCGGATCTTGTCTCGTCTTACTATATGAAGTTAGCGTATGAAGTTAGCGTTTAGAAGGGTATAAGGTGGAAATACGGATTCCCAGTGGATCGTGTAGGTTCGCTTTCCGAACTTATACTTATACTCTATGTCTGAGTTACTAGGATAATCCAAAGAGACACTTATGAATCTAGGCACAGAAACGCAAGCCAACTTGCTAGAAGAATTCAGAGTTCGTCAGAGAAGAAGAGCTGAAGTAATCTTGGGATTAATGGTATGATCAATGGGACCACCGTCAGGGGCTCTTCCCCTTAGACCCCGCTAGGGACGATGCCCCTAGGACCTGCAAGGGGGCGCGACCCCCTTGACCCCCACTATTTGGTCGTACCGGCGTATAATTAGATCTTACACATGTGTGCACTCCGCACACCCCGATTATTATAGAGTACAAATTATAAACCCCTTAACTTACATATTAGTTCTATTAGACAACATTAAGTCTCCTGTACATCTTCTATTTTGTGTGTATGTAATTGTATGTTTTCTAATTCTTTGAGGATGTATCTTGTAAATTCCTTTTGTATAAATCTATTGTCTCTCCACCTTATTTGGTGTGACGAGTTATATTCTCATGGTATCAGAGCTTAGGTCGGCTCACTTTCTTCCCTAATCAATCCATCCGTATCTCTTCTTCTTCCCTCTGTTACTTCCTGTCTCCTCTTTCTTCTTCATCTATGGCTTCCTCTTCTCAAGATTCTACCCTCCCAATGAACACCATCCTTCATCTTATCACCAATCGATTATCCTCCTCTAATTATCTTCTCTGGAAAAACCAAATAATCCCTCTTCTCACATATCAAAATCTTATGGGATATGTGGATGGAACTCTCTCAAAACCAGCCCCTGAAATTCTTATTGATGGCAAATCTGTACCAAATCCGGCTTGTTCTTCTTGGGTCTTGGCTGATCAGCGAGCAATTATTCTCCTTCAAGCCTCTCTAACAGAGGAAGCATTCTCAGAAATTGTTGGCTTATCTACTGGCTATCAGATTTGGACAGCACTTGAACGTGCTTATAGCAATTCCTCAATTGAGCGTGTTCAAGCCTTGCGTGATCAGCTTCGCCAAAACTCCAAAGGTTCGTCTACTGTTGCTGATTTTGGTCGTAAGTTTAAATCTATTTGTGATCAGTTATCTGCTGTTGGTCACCCGGTTGATGAATCAGACAAAATTCATTGGTTTTTATGTGGTCTCGGGTCTGTTTTTGAGACTTTTTCTACTGTTGTTCGTGCTTCTCAATCTCCTACTACACTTCGAGATCTTCTTGCTCAGGCGGAAGCACATGAATTATTTTTACAATCCTTGTACGGAACTACCTCTTCTGCTGTTGCATTCACTGCTGACACCAGACCACCAAATTCCTACCGTGGTCGTGGTGGTCGGTTTAATAAGGGTGGTCGCGGTCGCGGTCGCCGTCCTCCACATTGCCAGTTGTGTCGTAAGGATGGTCACTACGCCAATACATGTCCACATCTTTCTTCCTATGTCACTCATAAACCCGGTACAGATACGGAATTAGCAAAAGCTTTCCATGCTCAGTGTCATGTTACTACAAATGCTCCTGGTTTGTTGATTCCGGAGCTACAAATCATATGACGGCTTCCACAAATTCTGTTACACAACCTGCTCCCTATGATGGTCATGCAAATGTTCTTTTGGGAGATGGTAATACTCTTCCCATCTCCCATGTTGGTCAATCTGTCCTTCATAATAATGTTCGGCTACGAGATGTGTTGGTAGTCCCAAATATTACCAAAAATTTATTGTCTATTAGCAAGTTGACAACTGATAACAATGTGGATGTTTTGTTTTTCCAACCCAATTTTTTTATTCAGGATCGAGCAACAAAGTGGGTTCTAGCAAAGGGCCGATGTGAACAAGGACTATATGTTCTCTCTCATGAATCTCAAGCACTTACAGATGTTGTACGTTCAAGACTGAAGGCATCATTTGAACTTTGGCATTCCCGTTTGGGTCATGTCTCTTTTGATACTATTTCTCTATTAAATAAATTGGGACACTTATCGGTGACATCTTTATTACCGTCACCCGTTGTATGTTCTCCTTGTCAACTTGCTAAAGCACATCGCTTACCTTTTAAACTTAACGATAAACGCGCTTTACATGTGTTAGATTTAGTTCATTGTGATCTATGGGGATCCTCACCCGTGGATTCTATTGATGGTTATCGCTATTATGCTCTCTTTGTGGATGATTATTCGAGATTTATGTGGTTCTATCCTCTCAAAACCAAATCAAGTTTTCATATGGTTTTTGGGGCTTTTATCAATTTTGTTGAAACGTAATTTTCTTAAAAATCAAGGTTTTTCAAAGTGATGGGGGCACAGAATTCATAAATCATCATGTTCGCAATTTGCTTGAAAAAAATGGCACATTTCATCGCGTTTCTTGCCCGTACACTCCACAACAAAACGGGAGGGTGGAACGAAAGCACCGTCACATCGTTGAAACCGGACTTGCTATGTTATTCAATGGGCACGTTCCTTCTTCTTATTGGGTTCATGCATTTCGTACTGCAGTCTACATTATTAATCGTCTCCCTACTCGGGTGTTGCAAAATAAGTCACCTTTTGAATCATTGTTTACTCGGGCTCCATCTTATGATCATTTTCGACCGTTTGGGTGTCGAGTATATCCGTACTTACGTAACTATGCAGATCATAAATTGTCTCCGCGAAGCCTTCCTTGTATCTTTCTTGGGTATTCCGTACAATATAAAGGCTATCTATGTCTCGAGCCTATTTCATCTCGTATTTACGTTACCCGACATGCCAAGTTTGATGAATTCTCATTTCCCTTTTGTGGCTCTTCCTCTCCCACTTCACTTAATGACCTTCTTTTGGTCACTTTTCAAGATGATACCCTATGTTCACAACCTTCATCTCTCATTACCTCTTCCCCTTCACCCACCAACTTCAATAATTGTGGCTTGTGTGATGAAAACCCACAACACGTGGGTTGTCTTGATGACTTAAACCACTTATCTTCAACCCCAACTGATCATGTTCCGTCATCTCCATTACCTGAGGAAGCTCAAACACCTCCAACCCCCCTCGACACACTCACCAGCCCCCTCGGCCCAATCACCGATTGAATCCATTCAGACCGACACCACCACCTCACCTGCCCCTGCCTTTAGCCTACCACACACAGCCACACAACCATCTGATCCTGTTGTTCCTCCAATTGCTTCAATACATCCTATGGTTACACGGGCTAAAGTCGGGGTTTTTAAACCAAAGTATCGAGCTGATCTGTCATACATTGCTCTTCATTCGACATTATTTTGCTGCTAGTGATCCCACCACCTATGAGTCTGCCGCCTCAGAATCACATTGGGTAGATGCCATGAATGCTGAAATGCCTGCCCTTCATCTTAATAAAACTTGGACCTTGGTGCCTAGGCTTGATGATCGTAATGTGGTCGGTTGCAAATGGATTTTTCGAACCAAATATCTGGCTGAGGGCACGGTTGATCGCCATAAAGCACGTCTTGTTGCCCAAGGCTATAGTCAACTACCGGGTGTTGATTATTCTCTTACCTTTAGTCCGGTTGTCAAGGCATCTACAGTTCGTATTGTTTTGTCATTGGCGGTGATTAATGATTGGCCTCTTCATCAACTTGATGTAAATAATGCATTCCTTCATGGTACTTTAAGCGATCTTGTTTTCATGGAGCAACCTCCGGGGTTTTCTGATCCTTACTATCCTAATCATGTGTGTCGCCTAAACAAAGCTCTCTACGGTCTAAAGCAGGCGCCTCGTGCTTGGTTTCATCGCCTTAGTACCTTTTTAACGAGCAATGGTTTTGTGTGCGGTCGTGTTGACCCCTCACTCTTTGTCTTCAAACGAGATTCATGTGTGCTTTACCTATTGGTCTATGTTGATGACCTCATTCTTACCGGTAATGATGCCACCGTTCTTCGCTCTGATACCATGAGAATATAACTCGTCACACCAAATAAGGTGGAGAGACAATAGATGTATACAAAAGGAATTTACAAGATACATCCTCAAAGAATTAGAAAACATACAATTACATACACACAAAATAGAAGATGTACAGGAGACTTAATGGTGTGACGAGTTATATTCTCAAGTTCCAATTACACAAAATCTTTGGTGAAACTAAAATCACCAACATAAGATAACACCCTGAGAATAAATTAAGATTACTGACAGAGAGAATAAATTAAGATTATTGTACTATAATATCTTTTACATAAAGAATAAATTAAGATAACAGTACTATAATATCCTTTGCAAAAAGAATACAGTAAGATTACAGCTTGCTAATATTCTTTGTCTGACAGAAAACGAAGAAAATGAAGTAAGATAATAATTTGTGTCATTTTTTGTTGAAAATCCTGACTTTATCGTTAATGGTCCCCGAATATATAGAGAGTTTTCTAAAGATTACCGGCTAAAATCCAAAATGTGTAAACGATTGCCGGTTTCTTGTGTTTTTCTATAAAAATATAAATTCATGGCTTTATCATTAATGAGCCCATAATATAGTCCTTTATGAAGATTTCCCTTTTTCAGAAAAAGCACCTTAACCGGGTATAAAGTTGGCACGTTTCGTGGTTCTTTACAGATAGTAGCTTTGGAATCAATTGTGGTGGCCCACAAATTACATCCTCAAGTCAATTAGTCCATGAGCAAGACAACGAACAACTTGGGCCCGCAACATACTACTTGACTCCCGAAAAGAGGTGGGGTGTCAGCAATGTGGGAGTGAGTCTAAGTGACAACCCCCCCAAATACAGAGTCTCCACTCTACGGGAGTTTACAAACACTTCAGATCCACAACTCTTCCAAACAGCAAGACTCTCTGCTGGATCTTTAAGATATTACGGCTTAGGACTTGAGAATGGCAACTACACTGTAAACCTCCGGTTCGCAGAACTTGAGATACAAGATGGTCCCACTTGGAGAAGTCTTGGAAGGCGCGTATTTGACATTTATATCCAGGTTTGTGTTAAAATACATTTTCATAATTACAATATTTGAAACACTAACAGCTTGAGTTGTTAGATGACAGAATTGCAAGAATTGTCACTGTGGTTAGCTGAAAAATGTCATTTTGGTCCAAACAAGTTTAGACTAACACTAGAGGTTCAAAATTTTCATTTTGTTGCGAGTTTTTTGCAAAGCATTTTTAAAATTCTTCAAATGATGGATTTGCCCTTTCTGTTTGTTTTTTTTCCATTTTTTACTTTACTATTATTTAATTACACAAGGCCCCACCTGTGTGTGTGTGAGAGAGAGAGAGACCAAATTTGCAAAATCGGTTATACTCAGTAAAAGTAATCGTTTTACTTGTAACATGGACTAAAATGTTACAAAAACCTCAAATAAGAACCAAAGTTGCAAGAATAAACTTATTGGGACCAAAACTTAAAAAATCAACGGTCCAAAAAACATAATTTATTCAAATTAGAGTAAATTGCATTTTTGGTCTCTGAGTATAACCGACTTTATGCCCTAATTTCTGTAAGTTCGTTTCTGAAATTTTGTTTTTTATTAGGGAAATCGGGTGTTTGAAGATTTTGATATAAAAAGGGAAGCAGGGGGAGCTTCATTTAGTCCTGTTTCAAATGAAGTAACAGTCCAGGTGTTACATAACTACCTTGAGATACATTTCTTTTGGTCTGGAAAAGGGACTTGGGCTGTACCTGACCAAGGAACTTTTGGACCACTTATTTCAGCAATCAGTGTCACCCCAAGTAAATATTCTTTCTTGAAATTTGTTGTTAGCTTTTGGTCTTTCTACTTAACAAAATGACAAGGTCTCCCTTAATTACTTGTTCTTGTACAGATTTCATACCTACTGTGAGCAACAATCCACCTTCCAACAAAAAGAAGAATAATACCGGTTTGATTGTGGTGGGGATTTTGGTTCCGATTGCAGTTGTGAGCTTTTTGACATTATTAGCCCTGTATATTCTTCGTCGGAGAAGGAAAAGGAAGGATAATAATGACAACTATGATGAAGGTGATTTTCTTGACTCTTTTTTTATGACATGGATGAAAAATGTTTTTCACTGTTGATTTATTTCATTTTGCATTTCTTTATGACTTTTTCTTTTCTTGAATTGCAGATTTTCTGGGAATTGAGGCAAGACCATATACTTTTGGTTATGGTGAATTGAGAGATGCAACAAATGATTTTAGTCCTGCAAATAAGCTTGGGGAGGGTGGCTTTGGACCTGTGTACAAGGTAGTTTTATACTCTTTTATGAAAAATCTAATATTTGATTCTTGAAGTCGAACTAAACTATCATTGGTTGGACGGAATGGAATGACAAAAGAATGGAATGGACTATGGTATAAGCAAGTTAATGGAATGGGTCATTACATTCCTTTCTCATGCTTGGTTGGCCTTTAGGATTAGATTGAAATTTCATATGATTTTTTATAGTATGTGTAAATACAATGTATTACTTTAGCTTTAATCTATATATTACTTTAAGAAATAATTGCTAAAGAGACCAAAATGGGTGGTGCCCTATCACAAAATGACCATTTTTTGAACAATTATCACAATATAACCACCGATTTTGCAAAATTGCTTTATGAATGATCCGCTAGAATAAGAAATTGAGGTTTTTTTAGTGGGGACCATTCATAAAGCAATTTGAAAAAATAATATTGCAAAGTCCATTTCGCAAAAAAAGGATCTTGCAAAATATAAAAAACTTAAGGTTTTTGTAGTAGGGAGCTTTCTTAAAGCAATTTGAAAAGTAATATTGCAAAGTCCATTTTGCAAAATATGTGGTTATTTTGTGATAAATATTCAAAAAAAGTGGTCATTTGGTGACATGATACCACCCATTTTGGTCACTTTTGTGATCATGCTTTATTTGAATTAGATTAAATTACATTTTTTGTCCCTGCATACAACCAATTTTTGCAATTTGGTCCCAAAAAGTTTTCTCCTCCAATTTTGGCCTTTATTTGAGGTTTTTGTAACTTTTTTGGTCCTTATACACAATTAATGTTTTCAATTTTGGTCCAAAAAATAGTTATTATACTTGGAACACCGACCAAAAACATTGTATAAACCTCAAATAAGTAGCAAATTTGCAAAAGAAAATTTTTTGTGAATTAAAAAAAAAAACAGCTATGGAAATTGAACTGCTAGAACAAAAATTGAAAGATTGAACTAGAAAAAGAAATGATTACAGTTGGTTCTTGGCATCCGGGAGGCCAAGTCTCTCCCAGAAGTGTGACTTCTAACTTTTTCAAATGATGCTCACCGACTCCCACCATACCCCCATTTGCCTCATTTAAACCGCCCTAACTATTAGAATGACCAAAATGCCCCTCCTTAGCTCCTATATTACAGATATTGTACTTCTACTTATTTCCTATCCTTAGACTACAAAAATGAAAAAATTAAAGATAGTGAAAGCTCTTAAGAATCGAAATTAACGATAGTTAGTTATTCTAAAAAGTATAACTAACATAATATTTTTTTAAAATACTTGTTTTTTTAAAAAGCACATAATTCAAAATGGGTTATATTTACAATTCTTCATTCCATTCCAGGAAGGAATAAAAAATAAAAAAAATAAAAAAAAAAACTAGCTAAAAATGGAACAAATAATGTTCTCATTTTTTCTGAAATGGTCCATTCCATTCGATCAGGCAAAACAAAGAGGTCTTTTTCATTCCAATGGAATGAATTCACCATTCCATTCCTTCCCCAATTTCATCACACCATATCCTATCTTAAAATTCTCTTTGATGAAAAACAGGGAACACTTGCTGATGGGAGAGTAATAGCTGTAAAACAACTATCCATAGCTTCCCACCACGGTAGGAGTCAATTTGTGGCAGAGATTGCTACAATATCAGCAGTCCAACACCGTAACCTCGTGAAATTATACGGATGCTGCATCGATGGAGCAAAACGACTTCTTGTCTACGAGTATCTTGAAAACAAGAGCCTCGATCAAGCATTATTCGGTATAAAAAGTTACATATTTTTAGACATCAAATATAAAGTACTAAAAAAATATAATGCTATAATGTTACATTTTTTGGTCTATGATGTAGGAAGGAAAAAATTGTCACTTCCATTGTCTACCCGTTTTGATATATGCATGGGGTTAGCACGCGGTCTCTCGTATCTTCATGAGGAATCTCGCATACGGATTATACATAGAGATGTGAAATCTAGCAATGTTTTGCTTGATTCTGATTTGAATCCTAAGATATCGGATTTTGGTCTTGCCAAACTTTATAACGACAAGAAAACACACATGAGTACTCGTGTTGCAGGCACAATGTAAGATTATATACTTGATATAATTTTGTATAAACATTTTTGGTCACTAGTTTAGCTGATTTTTTCAATTTTGGTCCGAACGGTTTTCTCTTGCTATTTTGGTCTGAAAGGGCTTTTCTTCCAGTTTTGGTCCTTATTTGAGGTTTTTATAACATTATTGGGACTTGTTCCATGTAAAATGTCTATATTTGATCCATGAGTATAGTTGATTTTTGCAATTTTGGTCCCAAAAGTTTTCTCTTGCAACTTTGGTCCTTATTTGAGGTCTTTGTAATGTTATTTGTCCCGTTCCAAGTAAAATGACTATAATTTTTGACTAAATGTGCAAAAATCAACCATACGAACAAAAAATAGTCATTTTACTTAGAATGGGGACCAAAAACGTTAAAACAACCTCAAATAAGGACCAAAGTTTCAAGAGAAAACTTTTTGAGACCAAAATTGCAAAAATTAACCATACATAGGGACTAAAAATAGTCATTTTATTTGGAACATGACCAAAAACGATACAAGAACCTCGAATAAGGAGTCAAATTGTAAGAGGACTTTTTGGGATCTGGATTACAAAAATCAGTCAGACTTGGACCAAAAATAAAAGTTTTACTTGGAACTTGGACCAAAAATTGTAAGAGGACTTTAAAAAAACATGTAGGTTTTTAAAATATGGTTTGGACTTTCGAGAGGGTACATCTTTTTCTAATGCAAATTGTTAATCAAGTTCCCAGTGTGTAATTACTAACCACTAGCCATTATTAGATTTTCGTAAACTTAAGTTCTCAGTGTTTATATACATAGATATAATTACCAAAACATAAAATAAACATTTTTTAGCAATTTTATTCAATCAGCCATACTTAATAAATTTTTTTATTTCGCAAAATTAACATCCTTTTTGGAAAAAATTTTGACAGAAAAAGCAATTTCGTGAATTTGCATTTCTTTTTGCGAAGTAGGTGGTCATTTTGTGAAATATGTTGAAAATGTCAGTCATTTGGAGTTATGCCTCTATCTAGGTGATCATTAGCTCTCTTATAAATCCCATGTGGCGTCTACATGGCAAAAATTGTTCCTATGTCCACATGGTGCTAACATGGTATCCACATAGACTTGTGCACTTTCGCATAAAAACGTAACCAACTTTGGTATGATTTTAGGCATGGAATTTACATGAAGCGAACCGTGAACTTGAGTTAGTGGACGAAGAACTGTCTGAATTTGACAAAAACGAAGTGAAAAGAGTAATAAAAGTTGCCCTTTTATGCACACAAACTTCACCCACATATCGACCATCAATGTCGCGTGTGGTGGCCATGATTTCGGGTGACGTTGAAGCAAGTGGTGAAATTACTCGGCCTGAGTATTTGACCGGTTTCAGTTTTAATGATGCTACAACTTTTAAGAGTGTAGTTCCTACTTCATCTACAACTTCGGGTGGTGATGGTATGGCTAGTATGAGTAACTCGACAGCTTCACCATCACTGCTTTCCCCACTTGATATTTACCGACCCATGCTTTATAATATTAAGGGAGAAGGTAGGTGATGTGATCACCTAAATTCCATTCATGGTATATATGTAAAGTTTCTTGATTTAGATTTTAGACTTTAACTAGTGGATGGCCCACAGGTTTATTAATCCTATATTTTCGACACAATTACTATAATATTCCCTTACACGGGGGGACCATTTCTATAAGTTTTATGAAACACATGGACCATTTCTATAAATTTATAAAACATAGGAACTATTTCTGTTATTTTTCTATTAGGCAGGGACCATTTATGTAATTTTGTGAAACACATGGACCATTTCTATAGTTCTCATATTGGAACGAGACAATTTCTTAAAATTTGTGAACACAGGGACCTCTTATGTTATTTTTCTATTAAACATGGATCCTAAAGGTGCACACGACTTTATGAACGATATTAATTGTTATAAGTTGGTGAAAATATAAATAATAATAATGTATAATAGATGTGTGAAAAAACGAAGCAGAAAAAACAACGTTCGGTGCCCGAAAATACAAAAATATGAAAAAAAAAATTAGCTAATCTGTAGGTAATTACCTACGGATTGGTAACGGAGTTCTGACGGAAAACCTTTTTCGTAGCTATTCCGTAGGTAATTACCTACGGAATAGCTACGGAAAAGGCTTGCTGTCAGTATTCCATGTAATTAGCTACGGATTTTTCTTATTTTCGTATTTTCGGGCACCAACCTATAGCTATTAATATCGTTCATAAAGGCATGTGCAACTTCGGGGTCTATATTGGTTTCATTGTTTAACATTATAATGCTTACACTTTCACTAACAAGCTACTTTGTTTCTTTTAAATACATACACATACACACATACATACGCATACACACATACGTACACACATAGACATACACATACATATACACATTCAAATATACACATACACATACATATACACATTCAAATACACACATACATATACACATATAAACACACATACATATACATAAGCACACACATACACACATACATAAATATGCATACATATACATACATACATACATACATACATACACACATACATATGCATAAGCACACATGTACACACATACTGCAAGGTCTATGTTTTATCCTTTCCAAAAACTTGTAACATCGATATTCAACCAGTGGCCAGGTGACCCTATCCAAGTAGAGAATTCGAATGTTACCTCGAACATCAAAAGATAGATCCAAGTGACCAAGTGATCTTGTGCCACAAGAACCATACTAATAACGAGTAAGTGCTTTTTTCGGAATGAGTTGTGAATCGATTCCACAACTCCTAAGATGTTCCAAGAAGACTTGGTTTACAAAACTCATTTCTTTATCACAATAAAAGGTTAATGATGATCTCATTAAGTTGTATTTCAATCTTCACTATGAAACAATTTGAGTAAATCAAAAGTTTCAACAATAACGAAAAAAATCGTCAGTGAAATTGACTAAGAATCTATCATCAAGTCTACTCTGAAAAAATTACATACATCACTTATGTGTAATTCTTTGTCAAGCCTTGTGTTCTTTAACTACTAATAGTTTAACTACTAATAATTAAAGACATTTGCGAATCATCTTCCCATATAAATAGGAGAGTAAATTACACGATTCGTCCCTGGTGCGACTGTCAAAATGCACATTTAGTCCTTATTTTTAAAAATTAACTCGGGTCATCCCTGATAGTTTAGTTTGTTGCCCGTTTCATCCCTAGCATCGTTAGACGTTTGTTTTACCGTTTAAGTGCCCCACATACCAGGGGTATTTCAGTCTTTTAAACTAAAAAATAAATTAATTAATAAATAAATAGATTAATCAAAAAGTAAACCTAATCCTCTTTACTTTCTCATCTCCCATTTTCTCTTCTTCTCTAACCCCTGTGAAACACATTCGTCGGCACCACAAATATCCTCCTCTTCTCTCCGTCATCCACATCCTTCTCTTATCTCCGGTCACAAGCCACGGGACACTGGAGACACGGTCACCGGAGACGCTACCACCACAACTTAGTCCACCGTTGGTTTCTCTCCAATCTCCCGGTGATTGCAATCACCACTAACGCAAGCCACTTTGCCCTCCATTTCACCATTGACCTCGCTTTTGTAGCCACCGCCGGCAACAAGTATTCCTTGGAACTCCGATCTACTATCTCTGTCTCTAATAGATCCGATGTGTAGAACCCAACCTTTTATCTCTTCTCACATGTTCAATGTATCTGAAAATCAAATATATAACAACATATATGTTCTTCCTTTTCGGCAAAGAAAGAGGGTGATGACAATTTTTCTGGTTAGGATAGGGTTGTCGGAGATGCGAAGGAGAAGGCTTTAACTGATAAGTTTCCAGTGGTTGATGTTACTCAATTTGTCTACTTCAAGGTCTGCTAAAAAGAAAATTAAGGAAGCAGGTAGTGTCGTTGTACTTATTGCTTAAGTTTGTTTTTCTATTTTTGATGTAAATTATGATTATTACTGTTAGTTTCAATTGACAACCACTATGAATTTGCTGGAAAAAAAAAAAAGACAAATTGTGTTTTGTTTTAAACCCAAAATTTTGCACTATTAAACATGTAATTGATTTAAATTTGTTTTTGAAGCAATGTATGATTCACGGTTGTTTTTGCAGGTGTATAATTTTTGGAATATACAAGGTTTGGGGTTGAAAGCAATGTATAATTTTGGGCTGATTCTTTTGCCGGTGTATATTTTTGATGTTCAAAGCAATATATAATTTTGGGGTTGATTTTTTTTTCCACCGGAGAAGGTGTCGGAGTGGGGTAAGGTGCAAGGTTTAGGGTGGGGAAGGGTGTGAGGTGTGCCAAGGATCTCCTTATATTTTACACTAATATAAGTATTAGAAAATAATAATAAAAAGTAGAAATATATTAATAAGGGTAAAAATGTCATTTACTATGAGTTGACGGAAAAAATTTAACGGTATTAGTGTTAGGGATGAAACGTGCAAGGTTAAAATTAACAAGGGACTTTCCGAGTTAAAAATTGAAAATAAGGACTAAACGTGTAATTTGACAGGCACACCAAGGACGAATCGTGTAATTTATTCTAAATAGGATTCACATATGTCAAATGAATCAAACACATTTGCCTTCAAAAATTTCATCCTTTTGAAGTTGACATATGTGTTTCATATTTATATAGTCATGATGATTATGACATAGATAAGTTTGAATCAAATATCATTTGATTATTTAGGTGTCATGATCAGAACTATCAATTTAATGAAAGCCTATAGATTTACTTCATAATTAACACTATGAGAAAATATTCTTTAACACAGAATACATCATTTCAGAACATGAATGTGAACTTTCATAAAGCGATAAGTAAATCTAGATTTATTCATAAATTTAAAACTGTTACATGTCCCTATAAAATAGGCACAAAACATCTATTGATTATAGAAAGACTATAACAACACTTGTTATATCTTCAGCACGAAATACCATTCGTTTGTAATCAGTTGATTATTTCTTCCAATCATCAGCATATAATATCAATCATTAGTGTCACTTTAAGTATAACATACTCAAGTGAATGATGGAAAAATAAATAGTTCTATCATATAGATATCTAAAGTCTTGTCCAAGTCAGACTTCTTCATCTCGATGAAATTAGAGAAGAAAATTCTCTTTCAATGTCCAGTTTCTTCCACAATAGAAACAACATCAATCATTTAGATCCTTTCTTGATTCATGGGTTCATGTTGTATATCCCTTAACTGAACTGTAAGTCTATTTGAGTACATAATCTCTTAGACTTCCTTTATTCAATGCTTGAACAGACTTGAAGTACTTTCTAGTGTTCTGATTTAATATATGTTTTACTTGATGAGACATCTAATATATTTCAAAATTAACCAAGACTTTCTGCAAGTCAAGGCTAATTACTCAAATATGATGTGAGACACATCAATATCATTACAATAATGCTTCCATCAACGCATCATGATCAGACTGACTGGTTTGCAGAGGTTGTTCAGGTATGGGATCTTTTACTATATATAATTTCTATTTATCTTTAAGGTAGAACCTCAAGATATTATACCATTTATATAAATTATAATCATCAAATGTTACTTTCTCTTGAAACTCAACAAGAGAGAGATTTTGCAGGGCATAAAATTATTAACAATTATCAACAGAAATTCAAAAAAGCTTCATTTAGTATTTTCAATATTTAGTCTTTAAAAATTAATACTCTTTATTTTTTCTTAAAACATTAATTTGTTAAAGTTTAGGATCCAAGTAATGAAACAAGTAAATGGTTAGGTGACATTTATCTCATAAACTTAGTCAAACTCGGTAGGTAGCGATTACCAATTTCATACGATATGTAACTCCTAGATTATGGGATCCTGAACTGTAACATCCCAATCTCCAGGTATGAATTTAAAAGCTTATATATGTGTTTTCAGGGCAACTCAATGAGTTTGAAGGCTCCAACTCTTCGTGTAGAGTTTAATGGCCACGCATGTTTCAGGGTCTACTCGACGAGTTGGAAGGCCCCAACTCGACGAGTTGACGGTTGTTTATGAAACTCTAATTTTCAGGGTTTTGCACCCTATTTAAGGACATTATGACTCATTTGTGGCCTCCCTCATCGTCCCCTCAGTCCATAGAAAACCCTAATCGCGCCTCTTTCCCCATTTTGAGTGGTTGT